CTCAGGGCCCCCGGCGCCCTGGGATCGTGCAGATTTCAGGACAAGAGGCCGGTGCGAACAGGGCCAACCCCGACCTGGGTCGGAGGCCCAGGCAACCTGCGCAGCGTGAGTACTGCAGTGGCTGATCTGGGGCTAGGGGCGACCAAGGGAGTGGACCGCAGGGGATGGGGAAGAAGGGGAGGCGGGAGAGTGTCCTGGGGGCCTAGTGCCCCGGGAAGCATAAGGAGGGGCCGGCTCTACCCTCACTCTACTCGGGTGGGAAGGCGAATCTGGCCCAGATGTCCCGATCTCAGGGAGAGGTTGGGATGAAATTGAGGAATGGGAGCGGGGTGGGGGTAGGTAGTGATGGAGAAAGAAGGATGAAGGGAATTCAGAGGCAGGGATGCAGCGGGGGTGGATGACAGGGAGAGGGGGTTGGGGGGACCTGGTGCAGGCTGGAGGAAGAGAGGAAAAGGACAAAGGTGGAAAGATATTCTATCTCCTGGGCCACAATGTGCTGCCCCTCCGCTGCCCTTTCCCTTCCTCTCTGGGGCCTTGGGTCACTTTCCCTCCTGACTGGGCTGAACCGTCCCCCAAGTCAGGATGGAGTTGTTTCCAGGTCTTTGGGAGGTCAGATCCAAATGGTCCAGTGCAGAGCACCCCTTCCTCTAAATGTATCAGTATCAACCCTGGAGCTTGGAGGGGACAGAGCAGAAAGGGCTCATTTGGAAGTGGGTGGGTATCCAGGCCAGTTTTCAAAGCTCTGGCAGGCTATACCATTTCTTCTTTGGTTCTCTGGAGAAAAGAAAGCAATTTGCAAAACTGGGCAGCAGCCTGAGGTAGATTGTTCTGACTAAAATTAGCACTGATATTCTGATGAGGTTGGCACCCTGACCTGCCTGGGATGATGGAGGGAACCCCTCTCTCTCTCCATAAAGAAGACACCCAGGAGACTGGGGAGTCATCTGAAGCATCTGTGAGCAGGAGCCAAGGCCACTCACTGCTCTAAAGACTGGTCCAGCAGCACCACCATCCACTTGCACCCACCAGCCTCAACACCAGAAGGAAACCCAATGCAAGTGGCCCCCTGCGGCTCCACTGCCCTGAATCCATCTCCAAAAGAGGCATCTTGCAGGCAGCGCCAAGGCAGGCCTCCTCCAATGTCCAAGTGGCACCCTCTCTCAGGACCTGGAATGTTTTGCCTGGCCAAGTGCCCACCCAGAGACAGGGTTCCTGCTTTCAAATACCTGAAGGTCTGTCACCGAGATAAATGTGCCATGCGCTCTGGGAGGGCAGCACAAATCACAGCACAGCATAGGAGGGGGAGGGGCAAACTGAGGAAGATATTGGTGCCAGGATGATCCCACTGTCCCAGGAAGAACTCTGGAACTGTGGGTTGGGGGTGGGTGTGCAGGAACAGATCAGGCTGTATCTGGAGGTGATGAGCTGTCATTGACAGAAGCCAAACAGATCCTGGCACCCATCATTGGGGGCTGGTGTCCAGGGAATTTCTGCACTGATGATGTCCCATCCCCAAGAAGGCCTCAAACTGGGGTCTGGCTGGTTCCCCAGAGTTTAGATGTTGGGAGTATGGGAAGGCACGGGGTAGAGTGGAGGGGACACCAGGTACCCCTGTCATCCTTTCTGTACGGCCAGGGAAAGGCCTACTATAGTTCCCCATAGACTTGACCTCCTTGGCAGGCCTAGACTCCCTTGAGAAATAAGAGTAGTTTCAGTGAGTTTAGCAGAGGTAGAAATAGACTTACGCCCTCCATTTTACTCCTTCAGAAACCCCCATTTGGTCACCAAGTCCTCTAAGCAGGGATGTAACATTGAGAAGGTGTGGACCAGGGAGAGGGCCAAGAGCTCAGGCTTCCTCCTGCAGGTTTCCCCACCCAGCTGAGCCAGCCCTCCTCTGCCCCAGCAATTCCTGAAAAGTGAAAGGCGGCCTTGGGTTGCCTCTGCTGTGCCCTTAGTTGTCCTTTGTAGCTAGACCTTTCACGCCCTCAGCTCCAGGCAGATTAGTCTGTCGACAGGCTGGTGGAAGAAAGCAGGTGTTGGGGCCTGGAGAGAAGAGGAAGCGTAACCAGGACATCTTTTCACCCAAACAGGTTTAAATCTAATCCAGGATTAATGGGGGCCAGGGAGATTGGAAGCCAAGCCCAGGAACCTGGAGGTTGGTGGTAATCAAAAGGGTTTTCGCATTACCTCACCCCTCCTGGGACCCAGGTGTCCTAGATCCACACACATGCACATGCCCGTAAGGCTTCAGGCTGCCCCTCCCCTTTGGAGAGGGGTGTGTGTTGAACCTGAACCTGAACCTGAACCTGGACACAGGCCTGTGGAGTGAGACAGAGACCCACCCTAGACTGGGGTCAGGCATAGCTGCTGAAGCTGACTTTCCACCTGAGCTGCCAAGGGCTGCGCTGCCCTTGAGCCAAGGCATTTGGGTGGGTAAAGTAGACTGGCCAGAAATCAGGCCTTTTTCCTCCCTCCCACTCCTGCACCTCACCTGGGATGGAGGCTCACCTCCTGCTAGAGATTCTCAGCAAAGGGACAAGGAGGGGCCGCTTCTATGCTCCCCATGCCCCTCTTCTCTCCCAGTCTGCCACCCTATCCCCTTTGCTGGGCACCTCCACTACAGTCAGCTGATAGGGCCGCCTGGGTTTCAGGTGTCTGGGGATGGAATCCAAATAGGGTTCCAGGATTCAAGTCCCACTTTCCCTCGTCGATTTATTGGTCCTGAGCCATCAGGGCAGGAGCCCAGCCAGGAGGGCTCAGGGTCAGAAGTATGCAAAAATGCCAGAACCAGGGCAGGGATGGAAAAATCAGTTTTTATGGAAACAACACACTATAATGTCTAAGGGCATATACTTTGGAGCCAGAAAGAATAGGTTAGCATCCCAGTTCTGCTGTTACCAGCTATGTGCTCATACACAAGTGACATTACCTCTCAGAACCTCACTTTTTTCATCCTTAAAGAGGGAATAATACTTACATTAGCACTGTAGTGAGGATTAAATGAGAGTCTGTAATGGAGAGTGCAGGAAGTAAGCCTGCAGTACTGATCTGAGACTTAAGGAGGTGGAGATCAGTAGCTTAGTCTTTGGGGAGGTCACACACACCCCTCAGCTGAAGTAATCAAACTAGGAGTCCTGGAGAAGGGCAAAACTCAAGCTGAGACTTCTGTGTTCTGATCCACATGTTGTAGAGACAGACAAATGGCCATGAGACAAAGAAAAGTTAGGGACAGGTGGAGAGGGAGAGACAAGGGGTAAGAAGTGGCTATAGGCTGAAGAGCTGGCCACACACCAAACCCTGTAATTCCACCCAAGACTAGGTTATCTCCAACAGTAAGGAGGTCGGGTCTTGTTAACAGGAGGTAGGAATTTGATCTGCCTTGGCCTTGCTGCTCACCCTACTCACTGGAGCTCTTTTTTGCAGCAGTCCTGCTAGGGCCTAGAGCCCATCTCCTCTGCCCACTGCAAACCTGTCTGCCTCCTTCTCCTGCCAGGCTTCTTGGGAACACTGGCCCTACTACCAGAGCCTCATGAGCCCCCATGAATGCCAGTGAAGGGAGACCTGGCTAATGAGGCCCTAGCTGGTCAAGGGCTGGGGACTCCACCATGCCATCCATCTTGCAGCGCCTGCAGCAGGCCACGAAGACGATGAGCCGCAGGAAAATCCTGCTGCTGGTACTGGGGTGCAGCACTGTAAGCCTTCTCATCCACCAGGGGGCGCAGCTCAGCTGGTAAGTGGGTGGGCCCCCAAAGGAGGCAAGTTCCCTCAGAGCCACATGGGTTCACACTAAGAAGGGGTTTATCAGGGATGGTGGTGCTGGCTAGTAATGCCAGCTATGCTGAGTTAGGATTGCAAGTTCAAGGCCACCCTTGGCAACTTGGCAGTACCCTGTGTCAAAAATAAAAGAACTGGGGTTCCCCTTCCCATTCTTCTACCTAACAGAAGAGTCCTTCTGTTAATCTTTACTCCTTTATTCTGAAAGTGCTTTCCATACATGTCCTCTACATCCACAACTGGCCTTCACTGAAAGGACTGAGTTACTTGTTCAAAGTCATAGAGTCAGTCAGAGTTAGCTAGGATATGAATTCAGCCCAAACCCTGTGGGCACAGCATGATAGCTGAGTGCTGTCCCAGTGGACAGCACATAACTTCTCATTACTTCTCTTGTTCTGGGCAAAGCCATTCACTTCTCTGAGCCTCAGTTTCCTCACTTATAAAGTGGGAATGATGGTATGTACAACCCCTAGTCACCCTGATACAAGGTACCATGTGCTGACTGATGGGAATCCTGCCCCCGCTCCTAACTTCCTGTGAACTCAACAATTCCCTGTACCTCTCTGAACCTCGGTTTCCCATTTTCTACGTGGCCTGCCCCTGAGAATGGTATGAACAGTGTGGACCAAATGATTTGCTAGTCTTATGTGTGTATAGCCGTTATCCTGAACCAAAGCAGCTACAGATAGGAAATCTCCATGGTGTTCTGTAAGCTGCTTCACACTGCCCTCATTACGTGATCTTAGGATGGCAGAGAAAAAAAAACGGTGAGTGAATCAAAACCTGCAGGACTTTATAGGTCACTAGTCATCCCAAACACCCTCGTTTCAGGAAGGAGGAACAGAAATTAACACTTCATGAAGGGTTAGAGTATCATCTGTTTTGTAGACTGTTGCATTTCTTGAGCATAGAAGAGTGTCTGGCACACAGTAGATGCTCAAAAAAACAAAACAAAACAAAACAAAACAAAAAAATGCTGAATGTATGACTAAAGCTCCAGAGATCTTAACAAAACCTATAACAAATGGCTTGCTACAAAGCCTGGTGTCTCCCACCTAAAAAGTGAGGAATCAGTTGAAGAGTAAAATGAGAAAGATAGTAAGAGGATTTAGTGATTGTCCCCAGATTCTCCTCTGGTCCTCAGTCTCTACATCTGTAAGTGGGATTCCTCAAGGATCCTGAAGGGCATTTGTCCCTTCCATTATCTATTTTTTGGAAACATTTTTTATAGTAAATGGACACAATACCTTTGTGTTATTTATTTACTTATTTTTATATTTGTTTTTTAGTTGGACATAATATTTTTTTTTATTTATTTTTATTTGCTCATGAAGATCGAATCCTGGGCCTTGCATTTGTGAGGCAAACGTTCTAAGGCTGAGCCACAACCCCAGCTCCCCCTTTGTTTTATTTTTATGTGGTGCTGAGGGTCGAACCCAGTGCCTCATACCTGTGATGTGAGCACTCTACCAACTGAGCTATAACCCCAGTCCCCATTATCTATTTTTGAATAAACAAATTACCTTGAAACTTAGCAGCTGAAAACAACATTTATTCTCTCCATTTCTGTGGATCAGGAATCCAGGTGTAGCTTACTGGGTACCTCTGGTTCAGGTCTTCCATGAATGTGCAATCAAGGCGTTAGCCAGGGCTACTCCTCATCTGAAGGTCTGACTGGAAGAGATCCCCTTCCAAGCTCACTCAAGTGGTTTGGCAGACTTCAGTTCTTCAAGCAGTCTGTTGCCACATGCTACCTCCCTATAGGGCTGCACACAATGTAGTAGCTTGCTTCCCCCAACATGAGTTATCCTAGAGAGAGTGGGAGGGGGAAAAAAGAAAACACCACCAAGATGGAAGCCATAGCCTTTCTCTGATATAATCTCAGAGGTGACATCCCATAGTTTCTGCCCTATTCTATTCGTTATGCGCATCGATGAGCCCAGTCACCCCAAGAGGAGAATACAGAAGGGTGTGGTTTTCAGGAGGACTGCAGGGATCGTAGGGCCCAGCTTAAAGGCATCCCTGCCCCTACTGCTCCAGGGGTAAAGCCTAGGCAGCGCCCCTGAGCAGCACATCGGGGCTAGCCCTCCTCTCACATATGCCCGGGCCCTGCAGGTACCCTAAGCTATTCCCTCTGAGCTGCCCACCCCTGCGGGAGACGCCACCGCGCCCCAAGCATATGACAGTGGCCTTCCTGAAGACGCACAAAACGGCGGGCACCACAGTGCAGAACATCCTGTTCCGCTTCGCCGAGCGCCACAACCTGACCGTGGCCCTGCCGCACCCGAGCTGCGAGCACCAGTTCTGCTACCCGCGCAACTTCTCGGCGCACTTCGTGCATCCGGCCACGCGGCCGCCACACGTGCTGGCCAGCCACCTGCGCTTCGACCGCGCGGAGCTGGAGCGCCTCATGCCGCCCGGCACAGTCTACGTCACCATCCTGCGCGAGCCGGCCGCCATGTTCGAGTCGCTCTTCAGCTACTACAACCAGTACTGCCCGGCCTTCCGGCGCGTGCCCAACGCGTCGCTCGAGGCCTTTCTGCGCACGCCCGAGGCCTACTACCGCGCGGGCGAGCACTTCGCCATGTTCGCGCACAACACGCTGGCCTACGACCTGGGCGGTGACAACGAGCGCAGCCCGCGCGACGACGCCGCCTACCTGGCGGGCCTGATCCGCCAGGTGGAGGAGGTCTTCTCGCTCGTCATGATCGCCGAGTACTTCGACGAGTCGCTCGTGCTGCTGCGGCGCCTGCTGGCCTGGGACCTGGACGACGTGCTCTATGCCAAGCTCAACGCACGCGCTGCCAGCTCGCGCTTGGCTGCCATCCCTGAAGCGCTGGCGCGGGCCGCGCGCGCCTGGAACGCCCTCGACGCCAGCCTCTACGACCACTTCAATGCCACCTTCTGGCGCCGCGTGGCACACGCCGGCCGCGCATGCGTGGAGCGCGAAGCGCGCGAGCTGCGCGAGGCACGGCAACGCCTGCTGCGCCGTTGCTTCGGCGATGATCCGGTGCTGCGTCCAGCCGCGCAGATCCGCACCAAGCAGCTGCAGCCATGGCAGCCTAGCCGCAAGGTGGACATCATGGGCTATGACCTGCCTGGCGGCGGGGCCGGCCCAGCCAC